CACAACACATACCCCAGAATGGAAGAGCATATCTGAGGTGCGACTCAAAAAGTGCATAATAAACAGTTCTAGCCACTGACAAGTTAAGCTCCTTAGAAACAGATTTTAATGCAAAACAGGCAGAGCTTAAGTTTTTCGACAAAGCGTCGATATGAATGTCCCATTTTAGAGAATTATCTACAAAAAGCCCTAATAGTTTTACAGATTTTACGACGTCAATTGTGATGTTGTTAAGTACAAAGGCAAAAGAAAGAAACAGGCAGAGAGAAATATATTAGTATAATAGTTTTGACTCTTCTCATAAATTTTATAAATAATTGTTTAGACAGCTAAACTCACATTTTCCGTTGGTCCTCCTGTATCTGTCCGGGGAAGCAAATCCAATATGGCCGCCACTTTGTCTGTTAAATTCGGCATGGATAGCCTTTTCTGGCGAGCGGACCAATAGGATGGCCTTAGAGAACATGTTCCTAGCATTAGTACCCCATTCGTGTGTTTTCACCACTAATACTGAATTGTTGGTTATACTTTCAGCTGGAAAGCCATTTTTTAACAATCCATAATCTTTGTAGACTGACCCAGTATAGTAACCTAACGGTAAAAAAAAATAACAGAGAGATTAACATAACTTGATAGTTTTTTCATCATTATTTTTTTAACTGATTATAGGCTTGGTGCATTTCAGTTGATTTTAAAAATTCCGACCGCAGCGCTCGGTACAGCCGATATTAGAAGTACCCGACTAAAGTATTTCACTCAGTTCCGTTACCATTCTTGTGGGTCGCATTGAAATAATATTAAAATCGTGGCTTTGTCATAATATTTAAGTATTTTAGTTTTTCTTTCTTAACATCTTCTAAAATTATAATTATGTACCTTTAAAAAAATTCGTTATAACCAAAATAGCCTCAGCAACTATAGTGCAACACTCGCTAGCAAAATCGGTGCGATAAATTATGCTAGCTGTCGTAGTTGAACCCATCTAAAAAGTTTTATTAGCTTCAATAATAAATTATAATAGGTACAAGTTAGACCTTCTGACGATATCAAAATATTTACTTCTTTATTTTTATTTTTAGAATTTTCATAAATTACACTTCCTAACACTTATTATTAAGAATAATTATATAACAAATTTTTCGTGTATTCGCTATTTAAAAACGTGTATTTGTTTAGTCCACTGTTTACAGTATTCTCCGATGGTCGCAGCACCGGCCGAGAATGCACGAAGCCTATACTGCATACAACATTTACAATCACTATGAAGGTCATCATAACTCACACCAAAAATAAAGAATTAGACTGGATACACACAAAAAAACTAAAAATGGTCTAACCATGGTAAAAATGGTGACACCCTGTATACAAGCCCATTATGATTCGTTCATTTACCTGTAGCTTGTTGTAGTAAATACCGCAGCCATGTGTTTCCACTGCCAGGAAAACTAACCAAGGCAACTGGTTTCTTATCTAACTCTAAATCTTCATCGGGGTGCATGTACTGTAGTTCGGAGCACCATTGGATTTTGGATTTTTTGAGAACTGGACGAAACGCGCCCGCGCTATAGTCGAAATTATATTTTGGATCTCTACCCGGCTGAACTCTTTGATGGCTAACAGCTCTGTCCGGGATACTTGGCTGATAAAAAAAAAATAATTAACAAAAAATAGAAAATTGGGCCTAAAGGTACGCGCACACTGACCAGAGCCGCACGCGCCGCATCGACCGAACAAAAATATTGTTTGTGTTACTTTCAATGAAGGTACGCACACTAGCCAGAGCCGCACGAATCGCATCGACGAAAATGCGGCCAGCATTGTTGGACCAGAATGATTTTCGATAAATGCGGCTAGTGCTGCTGACGCCACAAGCAATTCCTTCGACTTTATGTAGCGTAGGTAGCCGAAGAGAAGATTAGAAATTCAATATGCTAAAGGGGCGTCCAGACCGGATGAGCGAGCAAGAGCGAGCAAGAATTCGGGTATGTTCTATGGGAACTGGTGAAGGACGGCTCTGCGAGCGAGCGAATGATTGCTTGCTCGCGCTCGACGCTGTTCCATGCCGTGTCGGTACATCAAAGAAAATTCGCGCTCTTGCACGTTCGGTTTGGACGGGATTTTGTTTACCACGTTTGCGATCGAATATCAAAAATGGAATGGCCGAATGAAGTTGTTTTAGAACTAATTGAGGAGTACAAAAATTGCCAACACCCGTAAGGTTATAGCTAGTTATTCTCTAGGTGAAATTGCTTTTCGGTAATTGGTATCACTTTTCATTATTTTCATGTCAATTAAATCTAATAAGGTATTAAAATCTGTAAGTGACATCCGACAAAAGTTCTTAAATATTCCAGAATCTTCTGTTTCAACATCGTTTAGTAAATTGTTACCACCATGAGAAATGAGAAATTCGATTTTTAAAAAGAGTTATGTTCCACCATCTCCTCTGCAGTCGTTTTCTCTTTTGACGTTTCAACAATTTATAAAATACAATGAAAGACGCACAAGCAATAATTTTTTCCGACATTATGAGCATGAAGTGCCACACACCGATCAACAATGAACATACAAATAATCGCTAGGTCTGGACGGAAGCTGATCATGTGCTCGAGAGCAGCAGAAATCACAAGCGAATTTGAATAAATGTTTGCTCGCGCTCGTTACTGCTCGCTCATCTAGTCTGGACGCCCCTTAAGAAAGTTTGCAAATTTTTCTTGGCTCATATTGAAAAATTTTTAGTTCATCCTCAATTAAATATGGAAATAATGTGGATTTTTGCAAATATTGACAGAACCTATAACTTTCGATTCTTTCTCGTGATTTCTTCTTCTTCTATTAACAAGGAACTCCATAATTATTTCTTGTTCGTTGTCATTTATTGTCGAGAAATATTAAAAAACACGCTTATCACCGCAGACAGGACTCCGGAAGCGACTAATGAGAAATTCGATTGGCAAATACAGATTGTAGTAGGGGAAAAAACAAATAGCGAATAATGCGGCGCGTGCGGCGCGTTCGCTACGGGTCAGTGTGTGCGACAAGAAAAAAAATGCGATTCGTGCGGCGAGTGCGGCTCTGGTCAGTGTGTGCGTACCTTAAAGCTTCATTCGTAACCTCCAAATTAGTGGAATAAATTAGTGGTTTCAATTAGAGTAGAAGTTTGTTCCCCTAATTTCAACGTAAGCATTCAAAACGTCAAAATTAATGAAAATAATTTTCATTTAGTTAACAAATTTTTCTAACATTTAGTTAGAAAAAATTTAGGAGTTTTTTTTAGTTTAAAAAACATAATTTAGGTACTTAGTAGATTAAATTTACAAGGAAAAAAAATACAGAAAAGATCCAATGATTCTCAAAATTTAAGCAAAAAATGATTTATTTTTTTCAAACGTCAGAAAAGTATTAGTTTTTGCGACGTGATTGACAATATAAAAAAGTTATTTTAACGTCTAGGCATAAAAGTAAAGCACTTTTACGCCTAAGCACAAAAAATTACGAAAATATAGTATTAAACTGACACAAAGTGTCAAATTCAATGAGCCCGTAATCATAGTTTCTCGATATAGAATTATAGGTATATACAAGGTATTACTTTTAAATCTTTTTATATTATTTGGAACGTTTGAAATCGTTTAAAAAATTATTTGTGGCGTTTGAAAAAAGATAGCATGTTCCATTCGGAGTAAAAATGACTTTTTGTGGCTCGCCTATATTGGACAAAGTTAAATGTACAACTTCGCCACGAAAAGTGTCATTTTTACTCCTAATAAAACAATATACTAGTATTTGAAAATTTTCAAAATAAAATAACTCGGTTATTTTGGACTTATTTGAAATTTTTTTTTTGAAACGAGAAAATATATGTTTCCCTTATCGAGATCTACCAGCCCTGAAAATATTTGTACTTAATTAAGACATTAAGACTCACCCTGTAAACTGTAAAATAGTGTTATTTTCAAACTAAGTGTACTCAATTACATCATCAGAGACAAACTAATTTTATTTATTAAAAATATTCAACTATTCCGGCTGCGACGGGATTCGAACCCATAACCTTTAGATTGGTAGACGAGAGCTGTACCTTTTAATTTTTAACACTAAGTATATGGCTGTACCTCTACACCACGGAGCGCTTTTTTATTCTTAGCTAATACTTTTTTTTAATATTTTTAATAAATAATTTTTGACAGCATCTCTACGACTTTGAATTTTTATTTATTTAACAATTGATTACTTTTATTCCTTGTTCGTAGTTCGCTTTCTTGAACCCATGTAAAGATACCGCCGACAAAATCACCACAC